AGCAGTACATTTGTCATATTCTTGTAGAAGAAGTAATTTAATTGCTTTTATTTTAATTACTTTTCAGCGGCGGGATTTTGACCCTCTGTGTTTGCTTGACAGATGCAGAGGAGTCTGATGTTGAAAACAGAAGGCCTGGACTCTCTCACGCTGGATAGAGGGCTGGTTGTGTTTAAGCTCCTGTCTCACCACCTCGCCGATCTCACTACAGAAGACTTCAAGCGCTTCAGACATGAGCTGCGTTACAGCAAGCAGGATGAGCACAGGATCTCCTGGTTGGAGCTGGAAAATGCTGACCGCACTGACACAGCTCACCTCATGGCCGAGCGTTTCAGCTCCCAGGCCGTGGAGGTGGCGCTGGATGTCCTGAAGTCCATCAACTGCGCCTCCACAGCACACAGCCTGCGGACAGAATGGGAGAAGGGTGAGCCCTGTCAGGGTGGTCTTCACAGGAGGGGCCTGCGAACCTGCTGCGGTCAGCTGGCCCGGCTTGTTTCAGCTCCTCAGCCAGAGAGAAACCTTCTCACTGGCTCTGTCCTACAAGGACTTTGACTGAGAGATTGATTAAACCGAGCAACAGCTGTTCAAAGCACAACATGTCCTGCACAAGTAGGAACCCAGTATTAGCATTGCTGTTTTTTTCATTATTATCAGGAGCCAACATTGTCATTTTAGGTTTATCTGAAAAAGGAATAAGGGGATATTTTTTAAATTAAAAGACTTGAAACGAATCCTTTTTAGGACAAATGGAAAAATAATTCCAAAATCAGACACCACCAATGCTGCCTCCTCTCACTATTTCCTGGAAATTGAGTCACTAACAGCTACTGATGAATAACAAAAAAGTAGCTTCAAAACCGCGTGTCTTTCCTCCTCTAGTCTTGTGAGAGAATGAGAGAGAGGGGTTTCTTTGGAGCTGTGGTTTGCCAATCAGGCTCAGTGCTGAATGACTTTCTATCACTAACTCAGAAGAGTCGGTATCAACGGGAACCTGACAGTGGTGAAACATAAGCAGCTTTTCTGCTGGTTTCACATGTGAGTGCACACTGAGAGCACGAGGTCAGCACCCCTGTCTCTGATCCCTGCTCTCGCTGTGAACAAGGGGTCTCAGCTCCCTCCCGCAGGCAGAGACAGCCCCAGATCAAGCTGCTGTTTTAATACCGGCGGGGTGTAGCTGTTCGGGGCTTCACGCCTGTTTGAATACACGAGTCAGAGGGAAAACAGATGTTAATATAGTTCCAGACTTATAATGTGTTTGTATAACCCACTGTTGTTTCCGTATTAATATGATGCTCAGCAGGACTTATTTTCCTCTCCCGTATTTATTTCCTCTGTGATTAATCCTTCAGTCATGTAAATACTGCTTTGAGAATTTTAAGGTGTCAAACTGCTGCATATCTTACTAATAATTCTGAATTTGTTCCCCAGTTACAGGTTATGATGCAGGACACTCCCCTCCAAAAAGAAGGTTGATAGGTAGGTGTTTTGGCACTGATTGTGAAGATTTGGTTAACTTAAATAGTAGATTATATGCACCATGGTGGTGCTCTCCCTCTCGTGCCACTAGTGCAGAGCATGCTCAACCGATGATTGATCTGTGAAATAAGAAGCTGATTCAGGGGGGTCACATTGAAGTAGAATACGATAATAATGATTCCTCACATGCATGCAGTGATTTCCATCCCAAACATTTCCACAGCTCTCTGCATGTAGGTGGGGACCCAACCAAAACCTGGGGGTCAGAGCGCAGGGTGCTCCTGGAGCAGCTGGGGTGAAGGGCCTTGCTCAGGGGCCCAACGGAGTAGGATTCCTCCACCGGCCGCGGGATATGAACCGGCAACCTTCAAACCACAGGGTCAAGTCCTTTGCCGCTCTCAGTGGGGAGGAGAACAGAGTAGTGGAGCCAGTTCAGAGATGGGGATTATCAGGAGGCCATGACTGGTAAAGGCCAGGAGGGATTTGACACCGGGGTAATGCCCCTACTCTTTTCGAGAAACACCCCTAAGATTTTTAATGACCACAGAGAGTCAGGACCTCGGTTTTACGTCTCCTACAAAGTGCCTTTCTACAATATAGTGTCCCCATCACTATACTGTGATTGATTAGGACCCACACAGACCACAGGGTGAGCGCCCCCTGCTGGCCCCACTAACACCTCTTCCGGCAGCATCCTTAGCTTTCCCAGGAGTCTCCCCTCCAGGTTCTGAGCTCCAGTGGTCTGCCAGCTGGGAGCTGCAGGGTGACATGGCCTCTTTGCTTTCCTGCTGAGACTGACTTGAATGTTTTTGCTGTTTGTCTGGGACATCACCAGACTACCAGTCCGAGTACAAGGAGGCGGTGCAGCAGAAGCACGGGAAGGTGGAGCCGTATGAAGCATCACCCTGGGAGGAGCACGGCCTCTCCTCCTCCTACATCAGGCTGCACCTCCAGACGAAGGGCGGGGCCGGAGACCTGGCCGGCCGGCGGAGGCAGCTGGTGAGGCAGCGGACCACGGACAGAGACTGCGAGGACCTGGAGACGCTGCTGGACTCCGGCAGGCCCCAGGTCCTGGCGCTGCTGGGCCCGGCGGGGATGGGCAAGAGCTACACGGCGAAGAAAGTCATGCTGGACTGGGCTGCACCAGGCAAGCACTACAGCGCGTTCGACTACATCTTCCTCCTGGACTGCCAGAAGCTCAGCCGCCGGGCACAGGACGCCAGCCTGGCGCAGCTGGTCTGCGAGGAGTGCGCCGCCCTGAGGCCTGTGCTGCAGAGCGTCTTTGAATCCAGGGTAGGAAGCAGTCAATCGTCTTACTAATGATCTGCTGGAGTTGTTACTCTTTTACATCTGTTTCGCATGTTATGTGAGGGTCACTTTACACGGACGTTCATGCTCTGAATTATATATACCGTAAATCCATTCTAAAAGTGTGCAATGCACTCCTGAAGGCCTCAGCGGTGCACAGATCTGGTCAGTGTTACAAAACACACTGCTGCTCATGAAGCACGACAGAGGAGCACTACCAGATTCATTCCCAGGCTTACAGGAAAGTCCTGCATTTTCTAAAAAGGCCAAAAGAACTAAAGTTACACAAAGGACTGTAGGTTTCTGGAACAAGCTGGCTGGATGAGACCCTTGTGACAACTAGGAACTAGCAACCTACTAGCCTAGATGGGTTGTGTGGTCTCTTCTTGTTGTAACTCTGAAGTTCTTAAAACATTCCATTATAATACCACAGAGGACCACGCTGACCAGTTTGCTGATTAAAGGAACTGAAAACTGACTTCAGCTCTCCTTCGATAACTGACTGCTTAAGATATCCTTTCCAAGTCAGAACCAAATAGGAGTAAGAAAGTAGCCCAGACTTCCAGGATGATAAAATGAACTGCAGCTGAAGGAGTCTGATGTGCAAAAACACTTGATGCTGTATAAACCAGCTAATAAAACTTTGTATATAAAAAGATATGTTCAAGTTTCTTACTTAGCTGATGCAAAATTTACTGTAGTGTCATTTCTGCTATAGGGAACATTGTCATCCCAGACTTCTATAGAGTTATGGATCTTGTATACCTTTGCCAGATGAAAAAAAAAACTGTCAAGGAATTTACCATTTCCCAGTTGTTGGAGCGTGATCCTAACATTGTGGCAGCCTTTGGAAGACTGTAATAACCAAGGACCTGCCACTAGGCGTCGCCAAAGGCCTGTAGCTACTGTAAATAGTACTATAGTAAACACTGATCACCACATGGTAATGTGGCTAATTTCTTGGATTATTGGTGGGGGTTTAGGCCTCAGATTCTCATATCTAATTTGGAGATTAGTGTATGAACAGAGGTTTGTTGGTTGGGTTTGAGTAAGTAAAAACAGTCAGAGGTTGGTGTCACAAACGTCTCCAAAAAAACTTCATGTTAAATAAGAAATGTTAAATAGGTTTGATCTGAAACTTCCATGATCTATGATCATGAGCTAAGTCTACAATCTACATCATTCTCCGTCCCTCTGCACCCCGATTGCAGGTTCTTATTGTGATGGATGGCTTGGACTTTGTGGAGTTTGCCACCGGAGAAGTTCCCGAGATGGATGCGTTCTCTAAGAAACCGATATCAGTGCTTCTCCAGGGGCTCCTGCAGAAGAGGCTCCTGAGCAGCGGTCAGCACTACTCACTGCTGGTCACCATCCGCCCCGCCATCGCAGACCAGCTCAAGAAGTGCGCCAGGGTGGACCAGTGGGTGGAGATACTGGGCTTTTCCGAAGAAAACCTGCAGGAATACTTCCAGCACCAGGGCCTGGCTGCCCAGGCCTGCGAGGAGGTGCGGAGCAACGAGAGCCTGCTGAGCTTGTGCGCAGTGCCGCTCACATGCTGGGTGGTCTGCACACTCCTGAAGCAGCAAGGAGAGGGGGGGGAGGGGCTCCTGGGCGCCCCCACTTATTCCATCACCTGCGTCTTCATCAGCTACATCTACATCATCCTGAAGCACCACCACAGCTCCTCCAGCCCCGAGGAGGCCGCCGGCGCCCTCCGCTCGCTCAGCCGGCTCGCCAAGGATGGCCTGGCTCGCAGGAAGAGGGAATTCGACGTGAAGGACGTCGAGGCAGAGTTTGGGGGCGTCCACAGGGTCCCCACCAGCTTCCTCAATAAATGCGGGTACCGGTGTGGGGTGAGAAGAGTGGAGGTGTACTCCTTCACCCACCCAGCCCTCCAGGAGGTGCTGGCCGCCCTCTTCTACGCCAGCGATGCCTCTACCGGCCCGCTGAACGGGTTCCTGTCCGCCTCTCTCCAGCCGGGCCACGCACACCAGCGGGACATGGTCCAGTACCTGTTTGGGCTCTGCCACCCACACAACTGGGCCCTGCTCGCGCCGTTCCACCTGGCAAGCTCCGCGTCTTTGACCCCCAGGCTGAAGAACTGGATGAAAGAAGCAGTCACCCTCACAAACAGGAACCCCGAAGATACGTACTTCCTGCTGGACCTGCTGCTGTGCCTGTACGAGTTCCAGGAGGAGGCCTTTACCACGCAGACCGTGGGAGCCCTGCAGGAGGTCCGTCTGCAGTGTGTCTTCCTGAAGAAGCGCGACTTCCTGGCTCTGCGCTACTGTCTCCAGCACTGCCAGGCCTCCCAGCTGCCCCGCCTGCTGCTGCACTTCTGCAACCTCAGGAGCAAGGAGGCCAAGAAACTGCTCCCCCTGCTGGACAAGACTAAAGACTTCAGGTAAGACTGGTGACTTAAAGGACCTACGTTATCAAAGTACAAATCGACATTCTGCTGAAAGGACAAGAGGGCATGAGGACACCAGTAAGATTACAAACGGGAGGAGATTGCTAGTATCTGCTCAGTCCCAGACTGCAGTCTTGTGATGTTTGAATATGGTGGGGTATAGTCGTCTTCCTCCCCTCTTCTTCAGCAGCACAACTGAGTAGTTTGTTCCAGATTCTTGCTGGTCTTTATACACTTAGGTCCCTCCTTATCCATCCGATTTCTGTCCGCTTCTTCCAAGACAGGATCACTCGGAAGCTTGAATCCCACCCTGGCGAGCAAGGGGTGCAAGGCAGGGTACACCCTGGACAGGACACCTGTCCAGCACAGGACGCACAGACACAGACACACACATCCTGGACGGGACACCAGTCCAGCACAGGGAACCCAGACACACACACTCACAGCAGGAGTGTGATTTACCTAGAAGCTAATCAACCTACCAGCATGTCTTTGGACTGTAGCAGGAGACCTGAGGACCCAGCATTTTCAATTTAATCTTTGACGTGCCACTTCATCCAAAAGTCCTCTGGAATGTCACGTCGCTGTGCAAGACTAGGCTCTGAAGCTGTTTAGCTGCGGAAATTATTTTTGAGCTTTGGAGTCACTGTGTTTTTTGCTCATTCTCCCTTCAAGTATCCAGATGTCAGAGCTAAGCCAAGAATCCATGAGCTACCTGAGTAAGGAGATCGCAACAAAGCACAAGCTGAGAGATGTGTGGTTGCGCATGGCTCAAGACAGTGACGCCCTGGACCTGACCTGCTCCACCTGGAAGTCTTGCAATAACTCGTAAGCAGGCCAAGAGTAATGTGAAGTGCACACACAAGCTCCTCAGGCAAAGATCTCCAGCTGAAAGAGACGTTTCTGCTATTGGAGCTGGTGAATTCCAGTTCCTTTCTGGGTTCTGTAATCCAGGGATGCGTGAGAACAGCACACAGATCTCACACACAGTAATCTGCATCTGACCTTACTGCAGGAAGAGCTCAATGCTGAGCTGTGTTCCATGAGGTGAGGTGAGGTGGTGTTTCTAATGGCATCCAAGAATGGCCTAAAAAAATGCTTTATATAATTAAAAGAACATCTTCCTTGATAAAGACTATAGAGCTAATCAGGGTTCCATCCTCATCTTTGATCTCTTATTATCTTTGTTGGGTTTATTCAGCTTTAGCCCCTTAATAATTGGTTTTATATCTTATATCAATTACATAAAATATATTAGTATTTTGTATATATAGGAACAAGTAACAGGTTTATTCCCTGCTGAAAAGAGAAGAAAGAAAACACAACGTTTCGGCTGTGGAGCCTTCTTCCGGCCAAAACGTGTTTCCTTTCTTCTCTCTTCAGCAGGGAATAAACCTGTTACTTGTTCCTTTGCAGCCAATGCATGCTGACACAGCTACCCACCTGAACTATTGTATATATCTGTGTGCTTCATGTTGTTTAATTGTTACAAACGGAGTGAGACTAGGGATTAGGTTATTGGTTTATGTGTTTATTTTGTCAGTGACACTGAAAGTGTGAGCGTGTCAGGAGGGGGTGTGAACCACAGTGAACCACTGTGTCAGGAGGGAGTGTGATCGCTACACAGGAGGGGGTCCCTACACTGAGGGTGTCTGACACAGGACTACAGCACAGGGGTGGGCTTGGAGGAATGGCCTTCAGTCATCTCAAGGCATCTTCAGAAAATCTGATGTGCTGGGGTGATAAAAAACGTTATTCTATATAGCGCCTTTAACAGCAGTCAGGAGAGGGTGGGTCCTGTGTCCTGTGTCCTGTGCCAGGGAGAAATTTGCCTTCTGCCTGGCAAATTCAGGCAGAAGGGCTCTGCAGCCCTGTCTGGCGCTGGAGCAGAGGGCCTGGGGTCAGTGAGTGCTGGACACTCTGCTGCTTTCCAGGCTGAGGATCGAGGGCATTCCCAGGGCCCAGACCTGCCTGCGCTGGTTCCTACAGGACTGTGGGTTCGGCCTCAGGGAGCTGTACTTCCATGACCAGAAGGAGGAGGAGGAGGTGCAGGGGATGTTGGAAGTCTTGAAGGAGACGGACTGTCAGCTCCAGTGTCTCAGGTAGAGTGTGGGGGGGGTGGAGACAGACCCCACGTCACTCAGTGGTCTTGGTCGCTGCGGCACAGACTGGGTAGAAGCTGCCCGATGAATCAGAGTTATCAGCACGTTTCCTCTGCCATCCAGTGGATTTGCATCATCAGTGCGTCTGCAGGAGAGCGTGTGTTCGTGTATAATGTTTCATTACACCCTAGAGTCTAGTCTCTAGATGACTTTCTGTGCTATCAGCGTGATGTGACTGTTGTGTCATTCTGGGTTGTTGTTGAAGCCAATACCCTGGATGCTTTGAAGAATCCGTCCTGGGATCAATGCGCTCCTAACTACCAACAGGATAGCTGGGCTGAATGGCTGCGCTGGTCTGTAACCTTTCTTCTGTTCTTAACTGGCAGTGTGAAGCGCTGCTGTCTGTCGGAGCTGTGAGTTTCTACCCCAGCAGGTTGTCTCAGTGTGTCAGTGCTGTGTTGCGACTCAGTGCCGGGGTGCTGTGTCTGCTCTGCTGTTCCAGTGTGAAGCGCTGCTGTCTCTCGGAGCGCAGTGTTCGAGCCCTGCTGGCCCTGCTGGAGAGCAGACCTGCCATCACCACCCTGGACCTGGAGGGGAGCAGACTGGGACAGGAGCAGCAGAAACTGTTTTTGGACGAGCTGGGAGCCATGGGAGGGGCTGGCCTGCAGTCGCTGGGGTGAGAAAGGCCACAAGGGCGATTCTTGCGTGAAGTTTCTGTTCTGCCGAAGGGTCAAAATGCTTTCCTGGGCTCCTAAGATGGAGCAGTCAGTCAGTGACCATTGTGTGGTCTTTCTTTTCGAAGATGAGGCAGTATCCATTAATCATTGTGCCTTTTCTTCCCAGGGTGCAAATCAGCCCTGCCTTTATGTGAATTATAGGTCCTGATTACACAGCAGTGTAGCAGTTAGTCACTGGTGGGGAGAAGGTGTGTTACTGGGGAACGAGCACTACAAGAGCTGTTGATATCTCTGTACCCCTGAGAAAGCCCTCCACTCCCTATTCCCACACTTGGGGCTCTACGAGTAAATTCCCTTTTCTTCTTGGAGGTAAACAGCACTGTGTTTGCTGCAGGAGTGTCAGGACTGTCCAGCTGTAGGTCTTGGATAAGGCGCTGCTTGAATCAAAGCCAGGAACTTTACAGTGACCCTTAAACTGCAGTGGAGGAGACACACCCTCATTTTTTTTTATTCAGTTGGGGCCACTAAACCGTTGATCACTCCCGGTTCTTGAGGAACACTCTTGAGAGCTGACTGCTGTTTGCTGTGTCCTGGTCCACACTCATGGCCTTGTGTGATTCCAGGCTGCTGGACACCGGCTTGACAGCCGCCAGTGTCCCCGCCGTCTGCTCCCT